CTTCAAATTATTGGAAAATGTTTTGTTGAGCTTGTAGTAGCTGTTGAGGGGTTTCCAAGGTAACGATATTGTGCAAGGTTCTGGCCTTGAATCGCAATTCTGCTGAAAACAAATGCAAGGGGCAGGAATCAACTGAATGCAGTGATAGCAAGAAAAACTTTTGTTTTAGATGGTTTCTATCTATGCTAGTTGTAACAGCAGCAGTTTATTTACTCATTTTATAACAACATCTAGATTTGTGTGTTTCTATCCAGTTCCTTATGAAACCATGTTAAAACATCAGAAAACAAATCTGAAATCTCCTAACTTTTTTATTTTTGGTCTGGCTAGAAAGAATGAACTTTTAATTAGTTACTACTTTATGTGGTTCTTTGGTGAAGCATAGCATTGTCTGTAGACTTCTCTTTCTCGAACCCTACCCTTTTTCTGACTAATATGGGTGCCAAGACAAGAAAAATATGGTTGGATTTTGTGGTTTAGTTTTGTTCTATGTAACATTTTTCATCTTACTAGCTGAGAGTTGATCATGTATGAGCCTCGAAAAGCACATCTGGTTTGATTTGCAACCAGTTTATTGTACTGCACACTTATTTTGTCTGGCATTTTTTTTGGCAAGGAGATATTGCAACTGCTACACAGAAAATGAGCCTTATCCATGACAACTCTGTGCGCTTTTGTATCGTTTTACTCTTACGTGGAGTTAATCATTTATCCAACTGATGCACTTCTAATTAACTCGCCAATTTCATTCGAAAGCTTAATTGATATACTTGCATCCATATTTGATGGCATACTTTCAGGTTTTATCAGTTTTGAAGTTAGAGAGAGGTGGACAAATGCCTGAAGATTATTCAAAATCTTTCAGAGAGGCTCTTGCAGTTTTCCAGCATGCCAGAATGTGTGTAATTGTAAAATTAAGCTATTCCAAATGCTTTATTTCCTTATCCTTATTATCTTTCAAAATTAAGTTCCTACATTAATTTATCACTTGCTGCTCATAATCTCCTGCAGTTACATACTGACCGTTTTTTTGTTTTGATCTCTTTTGCATTTGACGCAGATATAATTCCAACACCAAGACACTTGAACACATAAAACCTCTCCCTCAAAATCTTCTGGAATCTTTGGAAGGGAAGCTGAATTTCCTTGGACCGTATCCTATTTTAATTGAGCTAATACTATTTCTGAAAGTTCTATTAAGACGGCTTCTTTTTTAGCATGCGCCAACATGTCAAGCATAAAGAACCATCGTCTTTGAAAACCAAGATGTTTGTTGCCATGGCACGGATGCTTTAGTAAATTCATTGAGGTTGTATGAGAAAAAGAAAAGTGTTTCTTTGTCAGCATGAACACTTGAAGAGTTCTGGATGCTGGCTGCATGCTTGGCGTATTTGACCTCAGCAATGCTAATCTTCCAGCATTAGCCTGTGCATGTTGTGTGCTTGTGTCTAGTATGCAATTTTATTTTTTTTCCTTGACTGATTACAAATGACTCCAGAGAAATTCCTCCTTCAGTAGCAACTGCAATTGCTCAAGGCAACTTAGATCCAACAACCATGGAGGCCTTTGCTTGTTTTCCCAGTCCTGGACATTTTCCAGACCCTATTGTCATTCAAAATCCTTCTCAATTTCGGAAACCCAATGCTAATGTTGTATCCAGACGAAAAAACAGCTCGATGGCCTTTCTTTCCTATAAAACTGGAGAAGATAGTGCAGGCAAGTTTCTTAACCCCACTGAATCTTTACTGGATGCAGGTACTTAAAAATTGCATAATCTTACACTGAGTTTATTGTTCCAGGTGAGGTACTGAAGCAGGAGCCGCTTTCAACAGAAAGGATGTATATCAGCGAAGCTCTAGCACTTCAGAAACTAATTTTGCCACCTAAAGTTGATAGTACAGAAACAGCAATTGTTCCCAATGTTGTTCCACTAAAGGTTCCTAAGAACCCATTCAGGATTCAACAAGTTGAAGAAATCTACTTGGACCAAAAAGATAGCAGCACCGAACAAATCTCAGTTGTGATTGACCACGAAAAGATGAATGTACCATGGGTTACTCCCGATGACATTCAGTCAGATGTTCATGATAAAAGTCCTTCCAAGAAAAGAAAACTCGACAAAGTTTACTTGGATTTGGGAGATAGCATTACTGCACACGCTTCAGTGGTAACCAAGGTGGAGAATTCAGACAAATTGTGTGTTACAAAGGAGAGCCAAGAAAGTGTGAATTCTAAGCCTAAAAGGAGTTCTAATGGAAAAGCTAAAAATGATAAAGCAAAGAGAAGCAAGCAAATGAGTTTGGAGAACACGAAGAATACTATTTTGAATTTCTTTTCTCGCGTGTAACCTTTCAATCCTTTTGTTTTATAATTTATTGCCCCTTTTTTGGGTATGTTTTAGAAACCTCAGTTGGCTCTAATTTTTTTAATTGAAATTCTGAAATATGTCACTGAAAAATTGGCATTAAGATGCGAATTAGAGATAGCAAGGTCAGTAGAAGTTACCCCATTGTTTTGACCTCCGAAAGACAAGGACTGCATCTGCCATTCCCAGTTTCTGGGCGTGACTAGTGAGAGCTGAGTTCGATATTCTGGTTGTTTATGGAGATATGAGAGTGAAAATTTGCTTTGTCATTCGAAGTTAAAAGCAATTCATTCTGAAAAATGCTCCACTAAATTTCACAAACCAGGACAACTATAAAAGCCATGTTTGTGCACTTTCTGCAACTTTAAGTTCGTCTCGCTCTGCTAAGTCAGCCACTGTGCTTTATTATGCTGTTTCATCATGGTTGCAGATGCATAAAATATTAGTACCACTGCACAAACTCAAGCAAAAGAGGAGACCAAACACAAAGATCTTGATAGCTTTATTGCAAAAACAGTACTTCCAGACAACTACTTAAAGAAAGCATGGCTGCTTAATGTTTGTTCCGCTCTAGGAGTTGCTTGAACCAGTTGGCAGACATTTTTGGGTACCTCTTTAGGTTGGTGTAATCAACATAGACAATTCCAAACCTTGAAGTGTAGCCTAATCTCCACTCAAAGTTGTCAAGCAATGACCACGCAAAGTACCCAACTAAATTGGCTCCATCATCAGCTGCCTTCTTCAGCTGAGCCAAATAGGTCTTGTAGTAGCCGATTCTAGTGGTGTCGTGCAATGCTTGGGAACGTGTGAGATTACCAGGATCATCCATCCCTGCATAAGAATTTTTTGTTTTTAAAATAATATTCAGTCTAACAGAGTAAAACAAGACCACAAAAAAAAGTTGCAACTCATAAAAAAGAAAAAAAAATGACAAGACATAGTGGCTCATACCATTTTCAGATAGTATCATTGTAGGGTTTCCATAGCGCTCTTTTATGTACATCACAGCCTTATACATACCCCATGGTACATTATAAAGCCAATAAGAATTTGCCTGCAAATGTTCAATTATTCACATGAAATAAAATCAAATCCATAGCTCATGCATTATTAACTTGTATGGGAAGAGCTTACTCTTGGACCAATTGCTACTCCATTCTTCGCATCTGCAAAATTCACAAGCCACTGCACTTTAGTAACTGCAGGAGTATATGAACTTTGAAGTTCCATTTTGTTCAAGAGAGAAAGGAAGCGAGGAGTTTCTTACAAGCAAATCCAGCATTCCAGTCTTGCTGGTAGCCCAAGTACTTCGGTTTGGACAGATGTGGATCGTACATGTAGTAAGTAGTATAATGGTTGATGCCCACAAAATCCATCGAACCCTTCACCATCTTGACTTCTTCTGCTGTAAACTTGGGTAGCCTACTCCCGACGATATTTTGCATTGTTTTTGGATATTCACCATATACAATAGGATGAATAAACCTACATGTAGCCAGAACCACTATGACATGAGTTTTTGAAGTTATCAAGATGTCTGAATTATATCACAGGTTTGTTCATTTTACCATTTGAAAGTGTAATGCAACTGGAATGCCCTTAAAATATCTAATTTGCCTGACTATTGTGGAAAATTCATATCCCAAGTTTCATCCATACTTTCATATTCTTCAGATATACGTATTTTATTTTTACCAACAATCTGATCAATTTTTTTTTAAAAAAATCAGATAGCACATGATCGATGACACAAAGGTGCAAGTTCATAAAATTTGTCAGTTAAATGCACCAAATTTTAAGCCATCTTCAAAGTTGCATGCAGCATGCGGCAATGGTTTTCAAATTTTAGCTCATCAACTACATTTTGGTGGTATTTTATCATCATAGTCAAAAGCATTGACCAAGAATGTCAACTTTAACCACTGAAATGAAAGAAAGAGAGAGGATTTCTTGCATTACTAAGCAGTAAAGAATTTTTACCATCCAACATGAAAGTCTCTTGCTCTTTGAGCTGCTAAGTTATCAGCTTTTGATCTGGTAAGAGGTTCGTAATAAACAAAATCCAAGAGAATTCCAATCCTTCCCTTTTGTTTTTCCTGCAATGTAGAACAAACGAAGGGAAAAAAAAAAAAAACAAGCTATAACATATTGTTCCATCGAATAAATGAATTCCATTCCATTCAAAACAAAAGAACAGATGCTAACTTACTTGATACTTTGCACGATACCTCTGAACTGCAGCTGCATGAGATAAAATCAAATTATGAGCAACAATATAAGGCTCTGTCGCAGAATTGCCGACTGTACAATTTCCGAATGCTTTGGAACATCTCCCTGGAGCAAAGAATCCATTATCATATCCAAGTGCAGCCACCACTCTTGGTTCATTAAATGTCATCCAATTCTTCACTCGGTCTCCAAAGGTCTTAAAACAGAAGTCTGCATAATCGGCAAAGTCTTTCCTGCAGAGTTTGAAGCATTTATCGAATTTCAATCTATTTAAATATGATTGCTCAAAAACATAATCTCCAGAAGAATATACTTGAGAAACAATCACTCTCATATGTCCAAAATATAAAATACTTGAAATGTAAAAACTATACATTTGGCATCATCAGTTATTTTTACTACTCACACTACTTGGTGACTCAGCAATCCAGTATACTTCTTCTCAAGTGCTAGGGGAAGATCATAGTGATAAAGATTGGCATATGGAGTAATGCCTACAGAATATCCATGGAAATTAGTTATATCCATATATCTTGATAAACGTGAAAGTAATTAGTTGGCAATCAACATATATCAAATTTAAATTTGATCGAAAAGCAAACCTCTTTCGATCATGTAGTCGATCAACCTATTGTAGTATGCAACTCCCTTCCAATTCACTTTTCCAGCTCCATCTACATCGAATAAGTCACAGAAGGTTAGGCTAATCCAATTGACACCACACAAATTTTGAATTTAATAGAAACTGCAGATGAAACAATTACCAGGGAAAATTCTGGACCATGAAATCGAGAACCGGTATGCATCAAAGTTCAAGTTTTTCATAATATCTATGTCTTCCTGCAACATCATAAGAAGAGTTTAAACTTGACATTTGTGTCCTGAATGGGATAAACTTGATAGAAAAATTGGATATAACCAAGAATGGACATGTAATGCCATCAGAACTCTAAAATTTTTAATGTCTATGATCTGCAGAAATGAAAGTTACACTTTTTATAATAATGTAATAGCAAGGTTTAGTTACAGTATGCTAGATGTTAATACTTTTCTTCTCATCATTCTTGGCAATGACTGCTGAAACTACAATATTAAAAAAGAAAAGAAAAAAAAAAAAAAGAGGAAAATCTAAAGTAACTAAATTAGTAAGCATCCAGCTAGGTCAAAGGTTGATCACCATTAATGACCATACTGGCATGGCATCCCATTTTTGTAAGATATCTTATTGCAGACAGCAGGACATGATTAAAAGGAATCCATAGAAATAGAATATAAACAAACATATCATTCTAAGAAAGCTCAAGGACGGAGAGGACCTACCTTGTAGCGGTGATACTGGTCCACTGACACTTTCCCTGTAGCATTATTGGCCACAATCCCTGTTCCCAAACATCACCATTTCCTCTTATTATTTATTACTAAAGCATCTTAGTCAAAAGAAAGAAAAAAGTGAACAAAAACATAACATATTATTTAAGAAAACTCGCTGCAAAATATTATCACCAGGAATTTTGACAAATTCATCCCAAATGCTAGGCCCGCGACCTTCCTTATCAGCCATGCCTTCAACCTGGTAAGCAGAAGTAGCAGTGCCAAAGACAAATCCCTTAGGGAAGCTCTGTCTCAGCCCTCCTGCTGTTTCAAAACTAATGGTCTCAGGCTGCTTTGAGGCTCCATTGAATTCTTCTGCATGGGTGATACAATGAGTAATACTGAGAAATAATATCAAGAATGGCAATGTCTTAGCTCTCATCTTGAAGAGTGACAGAAGGCAGAGAGAGTGTTGTCCAGAAAGTGAGTGAGAGGAGTGTTGTTATTTATAGAAATGAAAAAATAAAAATAAAAAAGCATAAAATCGTCACACGTTAACGTTATCTAGTAAAAAAAGAGAAAATATCCGGTGTGTCGGGGCCTCATGCATCATGTCCTGTGGGATGCGTTGGCGTTGGAGATTGTTTTCTTGTCTTGTTGTTTGATGTTTAGCTATGGTCAGATCTTAGCTGAAGTAAAGAAGGTTAATTTTGTCCTAACAGAATGGTAAAATAATAATAACAATAACAATATACAATCCTAATAGTAGTTCAATGGTAAATAATTAACAGCAACTGTAATGGTTAAACCCTATTAAAACTTTCAGGTTTATAATACGAAGGTTCATTTGGCTTTACCTTCAAATTCTAAAGTGGGTGATGAAATTTATACCTTTAACGTGTGCTGATGAAAGTTCAATAGATATTTCAAAAAATCAAAATAAATTGCATTTTAATTATCATGTTGCTTGAAGCATGTGTATAAAACACATCAAATCATAAAATACTAAAAATGTTAGTAATAATTATAGATGATTGGCTGGTTAAAAAAGGACTCATTTAACTTGCCGTTTTTTACTAGAGTTTAGTCACTATAAATATTTATATTCCATAATGTTAATGTATCACGTTAAATACAAATACAATATAAGTAACAAGCTGTTGATTCAGTCGTAAATGAATTAATTTTTAGATAAATTTTTTATTAATATATAAAATTTAAATTTTAAAATCATATTGATTAAAAATATTAAATCTTGTCGTTCTCGTTATAAATACGATTAGTTTTATTTTTAACATAAAATAAAAATATTCAGATAAAATTGAAAAAAATGCAATACATAGATTTAAATATATGCAAATTACAGTATTTTCATCAAGGATGCAATGGGTGTATCTATTTAGCCATTTCACTTGTCAAAACTAACGGTGGGCAGTTTTATTTTCTTTCGAGATTTTGCACAAAAGAAATGTTGCGCAAAGAAAATGTTAATTGTTGGTGCTGTCTTGCTGGACCACAATAGCTGTAAATGTCATTTTCGTCCCAAGAAGATAAAAATCGTCAACTGTTGTTGGTGGTTTCTTACATCGGTGATCATTTGGAATTGAATTTAGTTTTAACTGATAGGCATAACTCGTACAAATCTTTAAAAATAACACGTCACAATAATGATTTCAAGCAATTCCAAATGATCACCGATCTAAGAAACCACCAGCAACAGTTGACGATTTTTTACATATATCAAAAACTCCTAGTTTTTTTGTTGTAAAAGACCATCCAACGCTTCTAATAAAACAACAATTGACAATTTTTTCATTTTTGTGATGAATCATATATATATATATATATATATATATATATATCAAAAACTTCTTATTGCGAAATATTATCTAACTTTCTAATAAAACAAATCTGTTAGAATTTGAATTCATAATTTTTTATTATAAGATATCATTATTATTTAGTCATAAGCTCTTTAGTATATATATACACAACAATGATTAGTCTGTGATATTTTTAGTGCATAAAAACGTTGTATTTGCTTGCATGAGAAGATAGTTGTTTTTTTTTTTTAATTATTATTATTTAAAAGAGAGGAAAACCTCTAGAAAAAATGGTATAAGTTATATTGTCTGAAAGTTGTAACTCCATAAAAATTTTCTAACAATAGATTAATATATTCTAGAAGAACATCTAAATGATAAGAACTTTTTAGTGGAAGATAATAAGTATAAAAAACATTTTTTGAGAAGTAATAATTATAATGTCCCTATTTTGAATATAAAAGAAACAAAAACAAAAAGTAGTATATGAAGGTTTGTTTTATTACGAAACCGAGTTATCTTCAAATCAATTTATACATTAATCGAGATTAAATTAATTTTTATATAATTTTGAGTGTTTATCATTCATACTAATTTGGTGTATTTTAAAAAATAAATTCTTTTATATATAGATTTTAAAATTTAAGTTCAAAAAATTAAGAGGAAACAAATCTTCTCAACCATCAAATCTTTTTTTTGAGGTCAGTACTCCATAAAACTAAGAATTAATTATTCAACAGATTTTGTTTAATTAAAAAAAAAAAAAGTTATCATCACTTAATTTATACTGAGAGTGATTTTCTATAGAACAGAGTCCACCTCCTAAAACTATGAAAATTTTTTACATATCATAATTTTATAAATATAAAAATATTCATATTGTAAATTTGATTTACTGACTTAGACAACTTTAATTATTTGTAAAAATTCTATTGGTTAATTTGGTTGATGATCTTAGATAGTCCATATAATAATTTTTCTCTTAAAAGAAAGAAAAAAAAACAGAAAAAGAAAAAAGAAGGTATCCTACGTCTTCTAACGTGCGTTCCCTTTTTACTAAAAAAATCAAAGTTATCATCACTTAATTTATACTGAGAGTGATTTTGTATAGTCGGATAAAATAATAATTCATTATAAAAATTGCCTAATTTTCTATTAATGTAAGCAAAATATGAGAAACAAACAGTGGAAGTTGGAACCTAATTTTCTATAAATATAATAATTACATTTTTGATCTCATAAAAAAAGTCATGTTGAACTTTTCATATATATATATATATATATATATATATATATATATATATATTAAACATTGTGTCAATATAATCCACGTGTATTTTCTAGTATACTTATTACATTATCTTTCAAAATTAAACATAGTTGAATAAAAAAAATATATGAATTCATTTTTTTTTAATAAAGTAGTAAAATTTTGATACTCAATTTTTTAATTAAAAACATACTTTTTAGGACATTTAAATAAGAAAAATATGATTTTTTTTCCTTTTTTTTTGAAACAATAACACGTTTCCAAAACCCGAATAGTATTTTTTTTATAAAAAAGTCAAACATACATTAAAAAAAAACATAATACAGAGGATTAACTTAGTATATCGAGAACTATAGTTTTTTTTTTTGTTTTTCTCACAAAAATATGATATCAATGAATTATTTTTATAATAAATTTTATATTTTTGTAAAATGATGAAACACAACTTCTAATGTACCTAATAGTTTATCTTATGGTAAAAAGCAGCTATGTAGGTGACATGTTTTTACAAAAAAGTAAACCGCATAGTGACGATATTAACCACAGTATTTTGTTTTTAATTTCTGTAATCACCATTAATTGTGTTGAAACAACAAGCACGATCATCCATTAAGTAACATTAATATTGCAAACGGACAGAGTAACGTTAGCTTTTAAGAAGAAGATCGAGGAGAAACTTTTTCTCTCTTGAAGGTTGATCGTTCGTTTTGGGTGGGGGGAGGGGGTGTAAATTTTTAAAAATTTTAGGAATTGAGTCGAAATATTATTGAACGAAAGAGCGATAGATATATATATTTATATATATTTTTATCCCTTCCCTAGATCTGCCGATGGTTGAAAGGAACAAAGAAGATGACGATAAAGGAATCTTAAAAACTGTTCAATAAATTTAAAGGAATCAAACCAAACCCAAAATTGGCTTCTTATGATCGGTTACTCCATTTATTTGATTTTTTTTCCTTATCACTCACATCTACCGAAGAATGAAATCGAAAAAATTGAAAGGAAAAACTGACAGGTTATCCTACTCCTTAAAATTTAGTGCTAACAAGATAAAAACGCTTATCAAATAACTAAAAGGAATCAAACTGATCCAAGAACATGAATATTAAAACTTAATTTTATTGTCAAAATGAGGAGAGAGAAGCAGGGTATGATGAAAATAATATAGGAAAGTTGTAGAAAAGAAAGTTTTCAGGAAGCAATGCTACCTAGCAACACTCTATCTCCACTCTCCAAGAGCATGTCACCCATCCTTATCTCGTTAAAACTGGTAACCTGCTGAATAAGGATTTCGAGAGTTTGTACAAGAGAAGAGGGCCAAGATCTTCCTTTCTTCATATCTATTCACCTGCCTACTATATTGCTGTGCTGCTATCTAGTTTGTACAAGAGAAGAGGGCCAAGGTCTCCTACGGACAGTTTAGTCAGAAATCCATAATCTCTCTCTAGTCTCCTGGTTTCTTTCCTCTTTCGTGCTTGGAATGATTCACTTCATGACCCTAATTTTTGGTTTTGCCATTGCAATTTTTTAACAAATAAATTTTGCTTCATATATTTCTTTTCTTTCAAATCAAATCATGCTCTTTCCTAAAAAGAAAATAATAATAATAATAATATAATAAAATAAAATAAAGCAGATCTTGGTCTCCTTTATTTGTTAAGCTTTTCTATCGTATCAACTCGATAATAATTTGTGAACTAAAGTTATCTTTGAGAAGTGTCTGGGGTAGTCAATATATGAAGCATCTTTTTTAGGAAACAAATTAAAAGAACGCGGTTCAATGATCCAAAAAAAGCAAAGGAATGCCATCGCAACTTAAGCCAAAAAAAAAAAAAGAAAAAAGTTCGAACGATTACATAAATTAAGAAAGTAAAGCATATTCAATTACTACTTGTCGAAATAATTTAGTGACTAGTACCCATTTTGGAAGGATGATACCTACTCCAATTTGCAAAGGTAAGAAATATGCTTGAGGTGACATAAAGATCACATATATATATATATATATATATATATATAGGACACAATAAAATAAAAATTTGTGAAGATAAAAAAGAGTTTGGATCCATTTATATTTCCTTTATGGCTTCACTAAAAGTGCTTTGATTGGCTCACGTTGGAAAAAAGAAGAAGTTATCCCATTAACTATATTTTTAGAGAATATGGTATTTTTAGTATCTAATATTTGATTTTTTTTTTTGGTGCTCAATTATTGATTTCTAATGATTTGCTACTTAAGTTTTAAATTTTTATTTATTTTGGTGCCCAAAATCACTTGATATTTAATTTTTCTGAAGTGTCCGACAAGATTTGCCATATAATATTTTTAAACCGCCACATAGCGAC